GTTTAAATTAGTGTGGTCCTACTTTAGAAGATTTAACTAGCTTTAAACAATATACTTCTAATTTTAAAGATTTAGCTAGCTCTAATTAGTATAGTATTAATTTAGAAAATTTAACAAGAAATAGTTCTGAAATAATTAATATTTCAAATTCAGATAATTATAATAATTTTGTTGAAAGTTTACAAACCCAAGTTTAGAAAATTATTAAATTAGTATTTTAAGTCAAATAAACTTTATACTTATTAAAAAAAAGAAAAATATTAACAAGAATCTCAAGAACTCTATATCTATTAAGAAAAAAAAAATAATAACAAAAATCTTTAGAAATAACTAGAAATAATAATGTAATATTTTTATTTTATTTTTTTTTGTAAAAATACTTATATTATTTGATTTTATTACAATTATAGAAAATTATTTTTTATCTTTTAGTTATAAATATTATTATACAATATTACAAATTCAACTCATCTAGTATATAAAAAACATGAAATTTTTTGTTAAATAGCTATATTAATATCAAAAGAAACTGAGAATTTATTAGAAATACTATAGAAGCAAAGTATAGAACTAAAAGAAATCAATCATATAAACTAAGTGAATTTGTAAAAATTTATATCTTGAATATAAATAAATTAAAGATAAATAGAAAATTATTACTATATAAAGTTCTTCAGAAAAAGCTGAATCAAGATTCTTACTAAATTGCTTGCAAATTTAGAATTATTAATCAGTTGTATTCTGCAAATAAATTTGAATTAATCAGTATTTCTGATTATTTAGATCTCTATATTGTTTTTCTAAATACTATGCTTTCATTAAGACAAGTAGCTACCAAGTAAAATATTATATATTCAATTTGTAATACTCAAAAATATCAAACTCATAATGTTTAATACCTAACTCAAGAGCATCTAATCCAAAAATGCTCAACTCAAAAGCATCCAATCTAAGAATATCTAACTCAAGAGCACTTAATGCAAAAAGACTAATTTCAAAAATGCTTAAGCTCAATATATATATTTTTAAAGTAATTAAAAAATTTTTTAAATTTTGATAAAAATTTATTAGTACTAATATAATTTTAATTTAAATAATGATATAAATAATAAAAATATTAAAGCCAAAGACTTCATTTAGACAGTTGCATTAGCCAAAAAATAAATTGTTATATGAAATTATACTTTTGCAAAAAAATAATTTGTTATGCTCAAGATGCTGTAGATACATTTTATTTAAATAATACAAAAATTGCTAGTTTTATATTATAATATTAATATTTTATATTAATTTAAATATGTTTAGTCAAAAATATAGCTAGATTAGAATTTAAATATCTAATTTAAATAAATTTTTCTGGCAACTTTTTTTTTAATCAGCAAAATTCTTACTGATTAAAAAATGATATATATTATTTTTTAATTAAAAAATGATATATGTAAATTAATAATCAATGCAGATTAAAAAATAAAACATAACATAAATACCTATTCATAATATTTCTAACTAAATAATTACTATTAATTACTTAATACTCTTCAAATTATTTCTTTTGTTTATATTAATTTAGTCTATGAAATAATTTGTTAATGTTAATTAGTAGAATTAAAATTATAAAATATGTATTGATAATTATTAATTTAAATAATAAAGGATTCACTTTGGATTAGGTACTGTTTCTGCAGTATAACAGACTTATTCCTGTTCCTGGTTTCATATAACAACATTGTATAACTACTTATTTTTATTAACACAAATTATCTCAATTAGCAACAATCAAATTCTTTCTAATTACTGATTATGAAAAGTTTCAAAGTAGACTATAAATAAGTATAAAACATTAGCATAGTTCAGCTAAAGTATTTTGAATACAAAAAATTAAAAAATTTTTTTTATATACTAGGTATACTAGGTATACTATATATATTATACTTATTGTATACTAAAAAAGTCAGATCTGGTAATCCTAGAAATACTACTAATTCAAGGTTATACTATTCCAAAATTTTTGAAATCTTCGAGATTTCACAAGATTTTTATACCTTCTTAACTAGGAATCCCAAAAATCTCAACTGTGATTTCTAAGATTTTTCAAATCCCTAAATTTTAGATTTTTTTTTTTTTTGTTTTTTCTTATTTTTAATATTTATTACTAGTAAAATCATATATATAATTGAGCCTGAAAATATTTTAATAAAATATACTTAGAAAAGTCTAACTTTTAAGTTCAAAACTTTAAAGAGTTCTATTAAGATTCTATTAAGTGCAGTACCTAAAAGTTCTAATACTTTGAAATTAAAATAGAAGTATTGAGTCCTAAATTCTTGTTGTTTAAAAATCTTGTTATTCACAAACTGAATTCATATTAACTTATCTTTATAATAAGCCAAACAAGTTTAATTCAAAACCAAGATTATATGACATATGATTAAAAAGAATATTAAAAATAAATATAGAATTGAGTATTAGAAATATAAACAACTAGAAGTAAATATTAGAAATAGTAGGAAACTATATAATACTTACTTCAAAGAACTAGTATAATCTTAAAACACTGACCAAGTCTTTCTATACCATCTTTTAAACCTTCTAATTAGGGTTTATTATTGAATTTGAATTATATATTTGGACTTGAGCTTATGTGTAATATAGACTTCAGATGAGTTCTGTCTAAGAACTCATCAAAACCTTTTAATACAAAAAAATTTATACTAATTTTTCAGTAATAAAGATAAAAATTTTTGAGTATACAAAATTTGGTCATATATATTGTTAATGAGCCAGCGTTATATAATATTATACAGAATAATTAGAAAGATTTTTTTTATTACTTTACTTCATCAGACTGATAATAATCAAAAGTGAAAAAATAAACTAAACTAAGGATATATAAATAATATTACAATTGTAAATATAGATATATATAATACAACTATGATTTAAAATAAATAACTAGTAGCAGAAGCATATATAGTAGCTAGAAGAAGAAGCTTATAAAATAAATTTGAATATAAAGAAATTAGAAGTATATAATAATTTTTTTTTTAAATATTATATAATAACCTCATTCACAAAGATATGCAAATCGGTTAAAGCAAAAATAGAGAATTATCATATTGCAGTAGCAAATTTATTTCATAGTTCAATTCTGATGAATATCATTAATATAATATATAGATCTAGCTATAAAATAAGGTAATAGCAGCTATGATTATTAGGTATTTATTATGTTCTGAAATTTTTATTAAGATCTTTATTTGTAAATAAATTCTAGAAGTATCTATTCTTCTTTTCTTGCATGCATTTATATACATTCAATAAAAACTATCATAACCTCTAATTATCAGAGATACTTAACAAGAATAATAAACTATGATCTCAAATATTATTTGTTTACTAGTACTACCAACTAATTAGCAGAATCTAACTGATTTGGTTTGTTATACATCATTCATTGAAATT